TTATTTTTTTTTTTTTACAGTAAAGGCCGGTGGGGGGGTCACTCGAAATAGATGGTTACGTTAGGAGGCAATTTGTGTGGATAGGAGGGGAAGATAACGGTTAGTTCTAGCCGGGAACAGGTTAAGATTGTAGTAATGGGGGAAATATCCTCTTGGGAGTCGGTAACACAAAGCAAGTGGTTCGTAGGAAGAAGCTGCTCGAGCGGAACTTACTTCTCACCGATGCAATACGGTGGGCATGTGGGTGGTTTGCTACTATACAAGTGACATGGCATGTCCTTGCCGTGAAGCTTTGAATTGACGGGACCAGGGACTGTAGGTCGTTCGAGTACTTTCTGTGAAAGTAGCAACAGAGCCGCAGAAGACTTGCTACATCCCGCCTGTGGAGCAGAGATTAGAAGGTGGAGAATAATTCGTCACCCACAAGAGCTCGGAGACACTTTTGGAGTCTATCAAGGCCGGAGGTTGCGGTTTGGCCAGATCCCACCCAAATTTTGGCCTGATTTGTTTCTTGCAAAGGTAGAGGATAGCAGGAGGATGTCAAGGAATTGGTCATATTGCAAGAATATCAGACAATCGTTGGGCATCGCGACTCGTAACGTGGATCTCTCGAGATCATAAGCGGCAAAAAATATCAGGTTGTAATGAAAGTTCGGTCCGAATTTAAGACGGAATATTTTGAACCTGATTCAGTGAAGTACAATATTTTATTGGTATATATCAGTGCCTCTCAAACTTTTTCAGCCCATGGACCATTTTTTTTCTTTCAAAAATTCAAATGGACCACTCCTACTTTTACTTTTAGGCTGTTTCACAGTAAAATACTTAATGAAAAGATAGAGTAGTCTACACTTTAAAATTTATTTTAGTAAACAAGGATAAACATAGGATATCAAAATTAATTTTTATGATGTCATCCAGTTTTAGTCCATTCAGCTAGTGACTACTTGATCTTGGTGTTTCTGACACAGGATATCATAATCAATTTTGATGATATCATCCAGTCTTAGTCCATTCAGCTAGTGACTTGATAATATAAATTTTTTATAAATATAAAAATTGTTCCTATATTATTCCTATTATATATAGGAAATATAACATATATATATATATATATATATATATATATATATATATATATATATATATATATATATGAAAAAATATATGATAAAAAATAAAATAAATATAATACTGCATAATCCCTACATAATTTCGAAATTTTCAAATATAATGGACATGTGTGTAATTAAACAAAATATATTTGTTTAATTCTTCAAATTATGAACAATTTAGATACAGTTTTGTGAAATGGCTACAATTTTTTTGTGGCTACGAATTCTCTGTGGACCACAAGAAATGCTATATGGACCACAAGAAATGCTATGTGGACCACTAGAAATGCTATGTGGACCACCGGTGGTCCACATGGACCACGTTGAGAATCACTGGTCTAGATTAATATATCGCATCTTCTTTAAGATTTTGTGAAAATTACTTGAAGAAAAATCTTTCACATCTATTCTATATTTGCTTCAAGTAAAGAACACATTTTAATGACATTTTCCTGCCATTCACGGATGGAATAATTAAAAAATCTCAGCAAAATCCACCAATAGACGGATATCAAAATCAAACAACTACAACAATTTAAATATCTAGGAAATGTTTTAATAGAAGACATAAAATACGCTATTGAAATTCGAAGGTATATTGAAATAGCGAAAGATACATTCCAAAAGTTAAGCAAAGTATTAAGACAGGAAAATTTCGTTAGAAACAAAGAATACTGAAATGTCATGTAATATCAGTTCTCCTATATGGCAGTGAATGTCGGACCTCTAGAAAAATCTAGAATTATTATTATTATTATTATTATTATTTTTTTTTTTAAAGAATTCGTTTGGGGCAAAATCGAGAAAGCTGGGAACTATGCCAAAAGTAAAAGAGGCGAAACGCACAGACACGATTAGCAAAACGGGGGATTGATTCGAGTTTGTCACTTGAATGAGAAAAGAATTCAGTGAAAAAAAAAAAGAAGACACTGAAGGGAATGAAAAAAAACAAACAAACAAACAAAACGCGAGAGAAATGCGTGGGTGTAAGTTTGCGATAGAAAAAGAAAGCAACGTTTGTGGAGGGATGAGTCAAGACGAGAGTATAAGAAGATGAGGGAAGAGAGAGAGAGGGAGAAATTGAGAACTAGGAAGGCAACAATGAAAATTGGATCAGAGTAATAAGAAGGAGGGGGAGGAGGAGGAGGAGGAAACACTTGATGCGGTAATAGGGAGGAGGAAGAGTCGAAAAGGAAAAAAATAAGAGACCAAAGGAAAAAGAGAAAAACGTAATAATAATAATAAGTAGAGGAAGAAGAAGAAAAAGAAGAAAAAAGAAGAAAAAAGGAAGGTAAAAAGGTGGAAGGGGAGTGAAGGATGAACTTTTATAAGAATAATAAGAGACCAAAAGAAAAAGAGGAAAACGTAATAATAATAATGATAAGAAGAAGAAGAAGAAGAAGAAGAAGAGGAAAAAGAAGAAGAAAAAGAAGAAGGTAATAAGGAGGAAGATGAATGAATGAAGAACCTTTAATAAGAATAATAAGAGAACAAAAAAAAGAGGAAAATGTTATAATAATAATAATAATTAGAAGGAGAAAAAGAAGAAGAAAAAAAAGAAGGTAATATGTAGGAAGAGGAGTGAAAATAGAACCTTTAATAAAAAGAAAAAGAGGACAATGTAAAAGAAGATGATTATAAGAAGAAAGAGAATGGGTCCAATTAATCAACCCCCACCCTCTACCAGACACTGTCTATTTCATAACTTTCAAAAATATCATTCAACGGAGACAGTATGAAATACACTAAATGGCAATAGCTTATAGGAAAAATTTACATTGACATTAAACAGAAAAAGAAATCCAGTAGAAACATCGTATGCTTCAAGCCACCATATAATAACAATGTAAAAACAATTCTTTGCATTATTTTCACTGTCCTCATTTATCCACATCTTTGCCGTTTTTATCACTACGTTTTGGCCATTGTGCTCCCACTCGCCAACTTACATCCACACCTAACAGCAAAATTCGAAAAGAAATAAAAACACCATATCACACAACCCACCATACAATAAACGCAGGAAAAACCAATATAGGCAAAATATTCCTCAAATTCATTAACAAATACAGCCATAAATCAAGCAAACTGCTCAAAATATTCAACAGAAATATTTCAAAAACTTTTGTATAGCTGCACAGAAAACATACCTCAAATCATAAAACAATAAAGCACAAAAAATATGCAACACAGTCCAGTTAGGTCAGACAGCCGACGTCGGCAAAGGTCAATGTTCTAGGGTTGTAGTTATAGCGATATAGCCATGGATGTTCTTCCGGTGAAATATTATTTAATGGCACAAAGAAAAGTTAAAATACATACGTATGTTTACAGCAGTATTTCTCGACGCTTTTTTCTTTTCTTTTTCTTTTTTACTCCCCAGCGCACTAAACTAAAATTCTGGGGTGCACTTTAAATTTTAATACGGAAAAATTAGTTATGAAATTTTAAAATTGGAAATTTGGTATTATCATTCCCAAAGAAGATTAAAGGTACAGTTTTCATTTAAATGGATTTATGAAAAATCTATTTTTTAGAGGCCAATAATATCTGATTTAAATCCCTTGAGGAAGACAACAGGGAAATGATTATCCACACCTTCTTAAAGATGAAGGGATTTAGAATCTAGTTTAAAATATCAAACGACAAAGACGTAGACATGGAAGCCATGCAGTTGGTATCTAGCTTTTTTTTTTTAAATAAAGCGTTTTTAAATATAAAAATAGTTAATAAATTACTCTTCTGTTAACTTGGGACGCAACTGGTTATCTTTGAGAAAGTTGAAAAAAACCCACTGGTTTACTGATTTTAATAGAAAGAGACTGAGGGAGAGATAGAGTTGCGAGGTGGGAGTAAAGGGGACGGCAGCTAGAAAAAAATATTCGGAATCACTGTTATATGCTCTTTATTGTAATGGTAAGGGAGCCCGTCAAGCAGACCATCCCTATTGGGGTTCAATTTTGAGCCGTGCTGAAAAGAATGCCAGGAAACGGATGAACGTCGAATCAGCCATTTTGTGATAAAACTTATTTGAAGGAATTAAACCATTTCTTTATTTACTGTCAAAAGTCACCGTAAGTCTAATATATTGTTATTCTAAGAGACCTATATATTACTTATATGAGATAAAAATATAATTATTGATTAAACGTTGAGATGAATTAGAATAAATTTGCCTTCTCGGCAATCTTTAACGTTTCTCGAAATATTCATTTTGATACTGTTAGGAGGTGTTAACGTATTTTTCCCTGTAAAGGACGATAATTCAAAATACAATTGAGTTACAACCCTTTCTCGCTAATTGGATCGCGGCACTTCTGAATTCAACATGGTGATAAGCTGACACGCACGTGGAACACATGGTTTAAATTCAAACAAATCCGTGCTGTTCTCAGGTAGTAAATGAATAAATGTTATTTCATTATGTTAAAATACACTTGTATTGAACAAAAACGAATGAAAATAAAATATTTTCATTCGTTTTTGTTCATCCTAACAACTTATATAACATAAAATTATTTTTTCCAGATTGTTTAAATGTAATTAAAAAAAATCTATGGTCACGAATCTTTAAATGTAAACAAGTAATTTTTGAATTTGTATAACTTTTTGCATAATTAATACAGCTAATTAATTTTTCAAATGAATTCCTGTTTTTTTTTTAACTTTAAAAAGAATTAAAGAATCTATCTATCTATCTATATATGATTATTTTCTTTCTTTCTTTCTTTCTTTCTTTCTGGGCGCCTCGAGGTGGGGTAATGATTAGCAAGCTTGTCTCTCTAGAACAATTACGACTGAGTAGTGAGTTCGATCCTCACTGGGTGTCCCCTGCTTTCGGCCTTGTGCCACATCTAAGCTGCGCTTGGAAAATCACTACCTGGCTTACGATTATATCACGTAGAATCACCGGTTCTCGTATGATCACCGAAGTTAAGAAACGTCGAGCCTCCTCAGTACCTAGATGGGTGACCGCTTGGGAATACCAGACGCTGTAAGTTTGGATGACGCCTCGGAATTTGAAATCGTAGAGCCGAGTTCTAGTTCCAGTTGGTTTCGTTATATTCGTTACGCGCACATACAATTGGGTTAATTAGTAGCACTTGTATCGGTAAATTGTTATCTCCCCCTCCATAATTTTTACAACCTAAAAATATTTTTTTGCTTTAAAATAACCAGCAAAATGTTGGTAAGCCGTAAAAAACAAATCTATCTATCTATCTATCTATCTATCTATCTATCTATCTATCTATCTATCTATCTATCTATCTATCTATTTCAATTTCTTCAATATCCTATCCTATCCTATCTATCTATCTATCTATCTATCTATCTATCTATCTATCTCAGTTTCTTCAATTCTATCTTATATCTATCTATCTATCTATCTATCTATCTATCTATCTATCTATCTATCTTAATTTGGTCATAACTATCTTAGTTTGATCACATCTATCTATCTATCTATCTATCTATCTATCTATCTATCTATCTATCTATCTATCTATCTATCAGATGTCTTTCTGTTTCTCTGTCTATTGAAGTCTGTTCACATATCATATCATATCATATCATATCACATCTATCTATCTATCTATCTATCTATCTATCTATCTATCTATCTATCTATCTATCTTATCTTTTTTTCTAGCTAAAATATTTTTAAAACTGCATCGTATTGAGATAATTTTATATTCACCATTCTTATTGTTTTTAAGTCACGCCCCGAAGGAAGAAAAAAAATGTCACCTTTTTTTTTCTGAAACTCCCCGAAAATCTATGCAGCAAGATAAAACAACAAAAAAATTAAAACATAACTTTGTTCGTGGACTCCATTTGTGTGTTATTTTTTTTTCTTTCATTGCTATTAGGTTATTGCACCGGACCACTTCATTGTCTCAAAGCGAATTACGAGTGTCAAATAGTTTGCAGTTAGATTTTTAACAAAGGATTTGCATCTTACTTCGTACGACCTATAGGTAAAAATTATGTGTCTTTTCATATCTATCTATCTATCTATCTATCTATCTATCTATCTATCTATCTATCTATCTATCACATTTCTTATCTATGTATATTTCGATCTCAGACATTTCTTATTTCTCTGTCTATCTCTGTCCTTTTTTATCTATCTATCTATCTATCTATCTATCTATCTATCTATCTATCTATCTATCTATCTATCTATCTATCTATCTTTACCCATAATTTTGGGGAACTTAATGAGTAAAATGATTTGAAAGCAAATCGATTTATTCATTTATTTTCTCGTGGGTGATGACATTCAACAAGGTTTTACTTTTGAGTGAGTAACCTTGCAGGAGAGTGTCTGTAGTTAGGTCTCACTTAATTATTTCAGACTCGATGAATTACTTAAATATAATTATCAAATCCTCCTAATAATTTCTATCATGTGTATATCATTGCTTCTACTGCTCTAGAGTGAGCGGCTTGGTGAGAGTAGTCGTGGCTCCAGGGGGCACAGTCCTATGGTTACAGAGAACTCAGTTGAGTTCCACCACGGAATATGTGAGCGAGCAGCGCTAAGTTGAGTCTGATTTGGAATCTCTTCGTCACCGACGCCCATTAGAACAGTTGGTATGATGTTTGCTTGACAATCTAACTGTCAGGGTTTCAATTCTCGGTGGCGGATGCGCACTGCTGATGAGTCCCAAATATAGGATGAAACGGCCGTCCAGTGCTTTCTGCATTCTGTTGAGGTTTCTATCAGACTCGATGAATTAATTAAATATAATTATCAAATCCTCCTAATAATTTCTATCATATATATATATATATATATATATATATATATATATATATCGACCTCATTAGGCATTGTTATTATACCATAATGATGTATTATTGATTAAAAAAAGGAGACAGCGGCAATTTTGACAACCCCATGGGGCATATGACGAAGCCGAGCTATGCGAATTAGTAGGGTGGCCCCTATTAAATAATTTGAATGAGTATATTGACCCTAGTAACCATCTATACAGAAACGATGGCTTAATTATAATAGATAAATGTACCCGTAGAAAAAGTGACATACTCCGTAAAAAAAATACATTCGCCGTTTAAAACATTTGGATTTAAATTAGAAATACAAACTAATTTAAAAGTCACTGACTATTTAGACATTACCCTCGCCCTATGTAATGGCACAATTTCCCCATTTAAGAAAAGCAAACAACAACTGCGTTATATTGACGTAGGTTCTAACCACTTTAGACATGTTTTAAAACATATACCTAATAGAATTAGTTATAGATTGTCCAAAAATTCATCTGATAATATCTTTAATAAAAAATAAACAAGATTATGAAAAAGCTTTAAAAAATAGTGGACACAAAAGCAAATTAATATTTGTTGATACTCGTAATTCCCCTAACACGCAAGGCAAACACAAAAATAGAGCTAGGAAGAATTGCTGGGGGCCTCAGACTCAACACGGAGACTTACAATAGTGGCTTGTGGCGGTAGTACTGCCCTGGGTGGCTGCTGGAAGACCCTATGTCTGGCACCATCCCACACCAGCAGGAGAAGCCAGTCATGGCTGCCAGACAATTTCTGTGACCATATCACCCCTTACATTTGTCCACTTAACCCCATCACCAGACTGCAACCCCCCCCTTGATTATTATGTGTGGGGCGCAGTTGAACGAGAGATCAATAAAACTCCTTATAACACCAAAGATGAACTGAAGGCAATGATTGTGTCAACATTCACCAACTTAAACAAGGAGACCACCCAGAAGAGTCCCAGGAGATTCCGAAGTCGTCTGGAGGCCGTGGTTGAAGCCAATGGCGATTTTATTAAATAAATTTACATTTTAGTATTTCACAATATTTTTTGTAATTTTGGTAGATATATTTGTTAAAATGAGATATCAATGCGTATTTTTTTGCGTAATTTAGTCGACAATTTATCTATCGCATCATATTTAACACACACACACACACGCGTGCGCACACACACACACACATATATATATATATATACTATTATCAGTATATGTCGACCATGTACTAATATATATCTATGTATTGAAATAATTTCACTATAGAAATAGGTTGTAAATGATGAACCAGGTGATTTTAACAGTCGGTATATTCGGCAAGCTTTCTTGGGAGATATACCGCCAATTACTTTAATGCAAATGTCATGGATATTTCTTTATATTACGTGCAAGGAAAAACACTTTTTTTCGTAACTGAAAATCCATTAAAAACTTTTAAGTTTATATGTTTATTGAATCAGAAGGAAAAAAAAACTTTGCCATCTCTAATTTTGAAATTTCCATTCGTAGAGTTGGTCTGACGATTGATCTGATCTTTTAGTCCCGTTGTCTTAACAACGTCTTAGCTGTTCCGTTCCAGTCTTGGTAAAATTGGTGAAACAACACGCATTCACCAAAATTACAGAGGACTCCACTTTAAAAAGCTTTTCTCGAGAAGCGTATAGCAATTAATTGAAGGATACAAATTTCTATTACTGCATCTACATTAAATGCTTTCATCAATACGTTTCATATTAACATATTAGAAGAATCTGCAATGGTCCTGATCTGGCATCTCAGCTGCAGTCACTTTCCCAACACCGTAGTTTGTATAAAAGAGAGACTGCTGCCCAAATGAACAATTACACACACACACACACACACACACACACACACACACACACACACACACACACACACACGCGCGCGCTCACACACATATACTTATTATAATTTTTTCATATAGACAAAAACAATTTACTTACAACAAAGATGCAACTTCGTTTCGGTGCATTTAGTCGCACCTCGACTGGTGAGAACCAAAATGGTTATGAACAATTTTGTTTGTAAGCAGGCCGCACGTGAAATATCACTTCCCTTTTTCAATATGTTTGAAAAAACAAAACAAAAAAAACAGTTACATTTTAAGAGGGAACGATTTTTGGGGTCGTGCCATCACTTTAACACCTCAACAATCCTTCAACAAACTGATATCAACAAACACTATTGTTTTTTAGCCTGTCACCCTTTTGCCTCTCCTATTTTTCTTTATCTTTATGCGTTCACTCTTAAAATGTACTTTTTATGTAGAAGGCCGGAGTTGCCCACATCCTGCTTAATCCCAGCTCTAAGGTTCTAGTGGCATATCCCTGAATTCTTATTCAAAACTCACTGCTAAGAAGAATTTTCCGGTCTAGAAATGGGCGAATTTAATAATTTTCGATTGAAATGTTTTAGTTTTAACTTATTATTTCTTTTTTTCTCTTGGTTCTCTGCAATGTCTTCTCACTTTTGTTTGAACGTTATATATGGGGTTAATATGCTGTCTAAGTAGTCCACCATTAGCAGTGGTTTACCTACTTCACGCCGCTGGCGAGTATTGTATTTTGTTGATTTCATTTTCAATCTCCGTTTTGGTTATTTCTCATTCAGTAACACTTTCTAGGTTACAACACACACACACACACACACACACACACACACACACACACACACACACACACACACAGATATATATATATATATACACACATGTATATAAACACACATATATACACACACACGTGTATATGTGCGTATACGTACATACATACATATATACATATATTCATACACACATATAGATATATGTTATATTTAATATTATAATTTACTGAAGCGAAACTGTATAGAAAGTGCACTGATTTCTGAGTCTCCCAAATTTATTTCCAAGGTCATACAACTTTTCAACTTTCTTAACAAGACTATTGCTATTAAAATGGTGGATGTTTAAAAAGTATCCTTATTAAACAAAAACAGAAGCTGAATGAAATCAGATTATGCATTTAGAGTTGTGGTCCACAACCGAGGTCAATATGGACCCTTGGGGGTATGTAACAAAAAAGGCAAATTGGGGGTCCACGGTAATATTTTCGTGGTTCATAGAGCAATTTCACTTAGGAACGGTTGTTACAACTGAGAATTTATACAGTAATCTACGCCATATTTAAATACTA